CTCATTGTTATTTGTATGCAGTCTTTGAGGTTCTTAAGTCTTTTGCCCACTTTTAATTAAGTGTGTTTTGCTATTGAGTTGGAAGTTTTACTTGTTTGTTTTGGACATTAATATCTCATTGGGTATATTGCATACAGTATTGTTTCTTCTTTTGTTTGCTGCGCAGATGCATTTGTGTACAGATGTCTCCATAAGATGGCTGAGCTTTGTTTTGTGCCCTAGCATGTGCCCTGCCCTGGAGAAAGTGTGTGTGTGTGTGTGTGTGTGTGTGTGTGTGTGTGTGTGTGTGTGTTGCTGTTGGATGGAGTGCTCCATGTGTCTATTGGGTACATTTGATCTAGAATGATATTCAAATCCAGTGTTTTCTTACTAAGTTTCCATCTGAATATCTATTTATTATTGAAAGTGTTGTGTATTAGAGGTGCCATTGCTATTATATTGCAGTTTGTTTCTGTCTTTAAATCCTTTAGTATTTTATATATTTAGAGGAGCTTTGATGTTGGATACACATAGTTTTACAACTATTTTATTCTGCTTGATGAATTGACCTATTTGTCATTGTATAATGTCCTTCTTTATCTCTTTTTATATTTTGTTGGTTGCAAGTTGAGCTACCCTGATTTGTTTGTTTTTTTTTTTTGAGTCTGTAAAGTGAGGTAAATCTCTTGTAAGAAGCATACAGTTGGATAGCTTTTCTGAAAATCCATTTAGTGACTTTATTTCATGAATTGGAGACTTGAATTTGTTATGTCTAAGGTAATAAGTGGAACTGATTATTGGGCTGGAGAGATGACTCAGTGGGTAAGAACACCTGTTGCTCTTCTGGACAACCTTGGTTCAGGTCTTAGCACCCAAATGGTGGCTCACAACCACCTGTAATTCCAGTTCCAGGGCAGCCAACATCTTCTTCTGATGTCCTAGGCACGGTACATGTGATACACATACATACATGCAGACAAAACTCTTATATACATAAGATAAAGTAAATAAATATGATTTTTTTTAAAAAAGGACAGTTTATTGCTGTTTTGTTATTTTCCGGTTGTCTCGTAGCCACTCTGTTTTTAATTCCTGCCTTGCTGCCTTGCTTGAGATTGGATGATTCTATGTAGCAGTATGCTTGGGATCCTTTCTGATTTTGCCCTGTATATCTACTAACAATTTTGCTGTCCAGTTACTGTGAGGCTTAAGTAGAACACTATATGCATGTAACAGCTTGTTTCAAGCTGATAATCAGTTGACATTGATTACATTTTCCAGTTTGTGTTAGTACTTGCATCAGTTTGTGATATAGAACCTTGACGTTATTTTTGCCTATAGTTGTTATTAACTGTTTGATCTTTTAGCCCTCATACTAAGAAGAAGACATTGCCTTCACATCAGCTTTATAATCCTGGAGTACCCTGAAGATGGCTTTGTTTTACATGCAGCACTGAGCTTTGAATTTGCTTGTTTCGTGTTATTCCTCAACAGCTATTTGTGGTTTTATTTCAGTCTAAATAGTTTCCTTGGCAATCCCTGTAAGGTGAGGGAGGCTGGTGGTTGTGAACTTCTTTTTGCCTTTGAGGCAGTGTCTTACTGTGTGATCTCCCTCTCTCCACTTGTCTGTGGGGATTTAAGGTGCGTGCCCCCATACCCCATTCTCAGAGTTTTTGTTTGCCTCAGAAAATTTTCATTTCTCCCTCATTTATGAAAGACAGCTTTGTAAGAAAAAGCCTTTTTGGTTGGCAATTATTTTACTTGGATATATTGTCATCCAATCTCTGCTGGGCTGCAAGGATTCTGATGAGAAGTCTCCTGATAGGCAGTGTTGAAAAGCCTTTTAAAGAGAGATGTCTCTTACCTTTTGTTACTCTTACATTTCTTCCTTTGAGTTTGAGTATTATGTGTCATGGCATGCTCTCCTTTGGGTTGAATTTGACTGATGATGTCTGTACCTCCTGTCCCTAAGCGATGGCATCATTTTCTTAACTTCTCTTTCTGGTCCCTCTTCCTCTTTCTACGGCTCCTATAATGTGAGTGTTTACTCTCCTGGTGATGTCCCATAATTCACACAGGTGTTCTTTTTCATCCTTTTTTGCCTTTGCACAATTTCAAATGTCCTATCTTTCAACTTACTCTTTTTTTGTCCAGTAGAGTTGCCATTGAAGATTTTCATTAAGTTTTCTAGTTTAGTCATTGTATTTTTAATTTCCAATATTTCTTTTTTAAAAGATTATCTCTGTTAGACGTCCTAAATTTTTTCTGAATTGTTAACTGAATTTTATTTTATTTTTTTATCGTTCACTGAACATTTTTCTTTATGAGTGTTATTCTGAATTCAATTGTCAGTTATCTTGTAGATCTTCATTTCTTTGGAGTTCATTATTGTAACCTGTCAGTTTCTTTTCAAAGTGCTCTGTTATTCCTTCCTTCCTTCCTTCCTTTCTTTTTTTTTTTTTTAACATAGGGTCTCATGTAGCTCGGGCTAGCTGCAAATTCAATGTGTAACTAAGGATGACCTTGACCTTCTGATATTCCTGTGTCAGCTTGCCAAGATGTTGGATTACAGGCATGATCACTGTGTCTAGTTATGAGGTTCTGGGGATCAAACTCAAGGTCTGAAGCTCTCTACCAGCTGAGCCACATCCAAGCCCAATGATCCTTTTATTCTTGGTCATCCTTGTGTCTGTTTATTGATGCTTCAAGAAACACCCTCTCCTTCTTTTACAGTTTTCTTTGATGCACCCTGAGGGGCAGCTCGTGACAAACACAGTGGGCAAAGCTTTTTCAGTCTGAAACGCTTTTGCTATTTACTGGCATAGTTTTCCCCTCTATTTTGACATATCAAATGTTTTAAATATTGCCTTCAACTATGTTACTTAGATTGAACAGGTAAATATTTGACTTCTCTTTTGACTAACATTGTAAGGTAAAAAAATCATAAAATTATGGTTTTGTTTAGACACACATAATGTGAATGTTCATACCTTCATAGTAGGATATATTTGTGTGTGTGTGTATGCATGCAGGTATGCACTTGTGCATAGGCACACATGTGCCCCAGTGCTGATGTGGCCACCAGAGGACAACTTTCAGGATTTGGGTCTTTATCTTCCTTGTTGAGGTTTCTCTTGTTTCTGCTGCGATGCTGCCTGTTCCAGGCCAGCTAGCCCACACCTTTCCAGGTGACTTTCTGATCTGCAGTCTCACTGTAGCAGTGCTGAGATTAAAGATGATGCCACTGCATCTGTATTTTTATGCAAATTCCGAGGCTCGAACTTGGGAAGTCAGACCTTCATGGCTATCACTTTAGCTCTCTGACACATTTGTCTAGCTTTTTTTAAACCTAGAGTACTTAAAGTGCTTGAAGAATTGCACTGATTTGAACATTGAATAGAAATTGAATTTCAGATCATCTCTTCCTCTTTATTTTCCCACCTTGAAAAATATCTTATGTAGTGGTTTATGAGCAGGGAGGCAGCATAGATGCTGACTGGCTATTGAGTGCGTGTCTTGGTTAGGTTTCTATTGCTGTGATAAACACCATGACCAAAAGCAACCTGAGGAGGAAAGGGCTTATTCCAGTTTACAACTCCAGATCATAGCCATCATGGGAGGAAGTCAGGGCAGGAAGTCAAGCAGGGCAGGAACCTGGAGGCAGGAGCTGATGCAGAAGCCATGAGGAGTGCTACTGGCTTATTCCTCATGGCTTGCTCAGCCTGCTTTCTTATAGAACCCAGGACCACTAGCCCAGGGGTGGTCCATTCATAATGGGTTGGACCCTCCCATGTTAATCATCAACCGAGACAATGCCTCATAGACTTGCCCACAGGCCTATCTGGTGGGGACATTTTCTCACTTGAGGTTCCTTCTTCCCAAATGACTCTAGCTTCCTCAAGTTGACTTAAAACTAGCAACACAAAATGTGGCATTTGTCTTGCATTTTAGGTATCACAGCCTTGAAATTTAAGGCTTTTTGTTTCCACATTTTGACCAATCTGATAGAATTTTGTCCTTAATTTATTCAAAAGTGAAATAGGAAATGCAAACACATGTTTCCTAGTTCTTATAGAAAGAGTAAATTAAGATGTGAAGAAAATTGAACAGACTTTTTAAAAAACTTCCAAGTCCTTGTATGGAAGGTTTAAAAAGAATTTTTATTGCAAACAGGTTAATATAGTTCAGAATGAAACTGTTACTTCCTTCCCACCTCAAATACTTGAATTAGACTCCCAGGACAACAACTGCAAACAGTTCTTAAGTAGCCTTCCACAGTGTTGTGTGTATTCAAGTGTATGTGAAGAGTGTGTATATAAGTTTGTGATGGAATTGTGTCCCCCTCTACACTAGATCCATATACATCCTTTAAAAAACAGTATGTTTTGAATGGCCTAAATGTATTTTTTTCATGTAGTTGAGAACATTGGACAGGTTGATATACATTAAGATGAACTTTTTCTGCATGTTTGTTAAAATTTTTTTCTAATTGTATCATTAAGTGTGAAGTTTCTTTAGTGTAGATTATTTTTAATAGAAAAGTTAATTTAGATGGAGGATTTCCCCCTTAATACATGTTTTCAGTGTTAGGTGTCAGGGTGGCTGGCTTGTGTCGCTGTAATGCTCTATTGTATCAGCTTTGCTTTTCTCTTCCTTCTGTTTTGCAATACTGGGGCTCAAACCCAGAGCCTAGTGCGTGCTCGGTATGTTACTCTACTACTGAGTTTAATTCCCAGCTTGAGGTTTTCTTCCTTCAAGTAGAGAACATATTCTTTTATTAAAATGGTCATAGAAATTGGAATATTTTCGAAACATGTAGTGACACACAAGTAAACTTAAACATATTTTCCTCCTCCCTCTCCCCCCCTCCCCCCCTCCCTCTCCCCTTCTCTCTCTGCTACCCCCTCTTTCTTTTGATTCTCCCTCCTTAGCCCTTTGAATATCCGGCTGAGTCACTTTTTTTTTTTTTTTTAAGTTGTAGTAACTAAGCTCACTGTGTGCCTTCTTAACTCTGTGTTTAGGCCTGTGTGGACGTAAGAGCCAGCTCAGTATTTTGGCAGCAGATGGAGTTTTCAGAGAGTCTTCATGGCCACCCCAAGTTACCAGAGTGGCTGTCGACACACCCCTCTCATGGAAACCGAGCTGAGCACTTGGACAGACTCATACCACAGGTGAGCTAGCCCTGCTAATGCTGTTGCTTTTTTGGTCTAGAAAAAGTGAGTTTTACTATGCAATTACTTTGGTTACTATAATTATTGACTATTGGCTTTCATGGAGTTGTAATGAAAAGGAAAGTCCTATTTACCCACAAGTCTCCGAGAGTAAATTCCTATGTACAGCTGAGTTTTCTCAATGTGTGTAGATGTAATTCTAAACGACCTCATTAAATAAGAAACACAGAGCCAAATAAGAGTTAAAAGTCCAGAGATCGAGCAGTAGCCAAGAGCTAAGACCACCTTATCTTACTACTCGATGCCATCCTTCCCCTGAGAGAGAGACCTTCTTCCTGTGTCCTGTCTTTTTATTGACTTTCTGTTCTGCCTTCTCATTAGTTCTAAACCCAACCATATGACTTCCTCATCACTGCCTGTCTATACAGACCTCCAGGTCTCTATGGTTCGTACTGAGATTAAAGGTTCAGGTCACCGCTTGGCTGTGTCCTTGAACACACAGAGATTATGCCTGCCATGTGATCAGATTAAGGGCGTGTGCCACCACCGCAGGACTTCTGCTAAATGGCTTGCTCTTAGCTCTGATCTCCAGGCAACTTTATTAACATACAAATAAAATCACATTTCAGCACAAATAAAATATCACCATAAATGTGAAGGTCTAATTCTTTAGTGTCTGACTTTGAACTGTAACTAATTTGGTAATGTTTTAAAACTTTAGGTGGGCCTGGAAATATAGTTCAGTTGGTCAGTGCTTGTCTGGCCTACAGAAAACCCTGGATTGCATCTCTAGCACCCCATAAACTAAGTGCAATGATGCACATCGGTAATACCAGTGCTTGGGAGGTGGAGACAGGAAAATCAGGAGTTCAAGGTCATTCCTGGCTCCACAGTGAGTTTGAGGTCAGCCTGTGCTACATGAGACCCTGTCTCAAAGAAAAAAAAAATAAGCAAAAAGGGAAAAGAAAACAACTTCAGGCATGTTTTCCAATATATTGATCATAATTTGGTTTTTCTTTAACTTTTGGTTTAAAATGTTTATTAATAAGTTATGTATAAGTTTTGGATTAAGTAGATATCAACTCTAGTTTGTTTTGTGTTTTTCTTGTTTGTTTGTTTCTGTTGTTTTGAGCCAGGGTTATACTACATATATACATATACTACCCTGGCTGGCTTGGAACTTACTGTATAGACAAGCCTGGCCTAGAATTCACAGAGATCTTCCTGCTTCTGCCTTTGCCTCCCAAGTGCTGGAATTAAAGATGTGCTCCCTCATGTCTGGCTCTCATCAATTTTTTTGTTTGTTTGTCTGAGACAGGCTATATGAGCCTAGGCTGGCTTCGACCTTTTGTGTAACTGAGGCTGGCCTTGAATTCTTGAGTGCAGGAAGTACAGACCCTGTGCTATTCTACCCGGTTTTGTACAGTGCTGGGGATCCAACACAGGCTCCATGCATATTAAGCAGGAACTCTACCAACTGAGCTACATTTCCATCTCTGTGTGGCTTAGAAACAGTGGAAATTTGTTTCTAAATTTAGAAACTGGGAAATCTTAGATCAAACTTGGTGTCTTATAAGGATCCAGTTTCCTGTGCATAAATGGCTGTCTCCTAGTATAACCTTACATGGTGAACTAGGAAGCGAGGTCTTTGGAGAGTCAGTTTGTCCATCCATCCATCCATCCATCCATCCATCCATCCGTCTGTCCGTCCATCCATTCATCCATCCGTCCATCCATGCATCCATCCGTCCATCCATTCATCCATGTGTCCATCCATCCATCCATCCATCCATCCATCCAGCCTTTATTTATCATTGTATTTTAAGACAAAGTCTCACTCTGGAGCTGAAGGTGGTCTTGAACTTGAGCTCTTCCTATCTCAGTTTCCCCAGTGTTTGGATTACAAGCATGGGTCACTGTGCTGGGAACAGAGCATCTTTTAATAAGCACTGGTCCCATTGGGATTGACTTTTATGACCTGATTACATCTCAAGGCCTCATTTTATTAAGGCTATCACATTAGGATTTCAGCATGTGAAGTTTGAGAGGCACAAGTGTTAGTTGATTGGCACCTTTTATCTGAATCAAATCTTACTTAGATCTTAAGTGAAGGAAAAACATAGCAAAAATAGTAGTGAAATTTACCTGATGTAATCTGTAGTATTACTCACCTAAGCAGGGTAGTATATGTGTTTCACGAGTAATTGATTATACTGAGGGCCAGCGAGGACCCCAGACCTTAGAGGCCCTGGGGAGGCCATGACTTGTCTCTAAAGTCATGACACACACATTTCTTTTCTTTTGAACTCAGTGCGATTCTCAACTGTGTGGCTTGTTTAAACTAGATAACGAGTTCTACTAGGCAGCTGTGATTTGAAGTCTACCCGAAATTCTAAAGTTGTCATTTCATCAAATCACCGAGGATCTTCAGATAGGTAAAAAAAGGGTGTGCTTTAGGGAGGTCTGTGAAATGGTGATGAACTGATTAGAGAGCATGGGGAACATGGCTGGAGAAACAAATGTTATTTGGGAGCCAGTGAGGAAGAAAAACAGAGGAGGTCTTTTTTTTTTTTTTCTAAAAATAAACCATCCCAGTTCAGAAATTTAATTTGAAAACTGCAGGTAAATTTCTTATATTTTTCCCCCAAGTGATTAAATTCAATTTGAAAGCAATAAAACTCTACTACAACATTGGGAATAATTCAGTGGTTGAAGTGAGAATGATAGTTAGTACAAGGGTATACTGTTAATTAGAACACACAGTCATAAAGATTGGAATGTGCTGCTCTCCTAAGTCTGATTTCTGTAATGGAAGGAAGCAGCCATGTATGGAAGATGTGTTCCTACATACCACTAAAGACTGCATTTTTTTTTTTTTTTTGAGACAGAGTTTCATTGTGTAACAGCCTTAGTTGTCCTGGAACTAGCTCTGTAGACCAGGCTGGCCTCACTCAAACTCACAGAGATCCATCTTTCTCTGCCTCCTGAGTGTGGGAACTGAAGGTGTATGCCATCACTACCTGGCAAGACTACGTTGTTAACACGATTGTTTACTTGGGATTTTAGGGTTGAATTTTACTGGTGGCTTCTGTCCCCTGACATTTGGACAGTCAGACACCTTTCTAAGGTCTAGAGCACTGGTGCTCAAGCTGGTTTACAACAGACACAGTATTGCCCTCCGGAGGTAGCCGCAGTGATAAAACTGGCAGGTTCACCTAGGAACCGAATAGAGATCAAGGTGAAGGGCAGAGTTCATTCACGGAGGCATCCTCTGTGCTTAACTGGTGAGGACACAGCCTGCTGTGGGTCTGATGTTTGGGGAAAAAACCAACACCTTGTTGTTCTGTGATGGGAACTTAAATTTTGGTGACTTTGATTTTTAATTTCATGTGCTAAGGATTATAAGTCTATTTTATCAGATTCTTTGAATGCCATTATAAAATATATTATTTCTTGCTATAATTTGTCAACATTAGAGATATTAAATTATTTATGTAACATAAATCTTGAAAGATCTTATTAATAAAAACAAACCCAAAGCCAGATATTGGGGTGAATTCTGAAAGATCAGAGAAGCAGAACAAGCCACAGCCACCTCACCTTGCCAGTTCTTCAGTTGATCCTGTTTCCTCAAACTGGAAGCCTTTGAGTCCTCATTCAAACTGCTGCTCAAAAGCCTAAAAGCTTAAAAACCTCTAGTTTCTGGTCCTCACGCCTTATATACCTTTCTGCTTCCTGCCATCACTTCCTGGGATTAAAGGTGTGTGTCTTTCCCAAACAAGACATGAGATCTCAAGTGCTGGGATTAAAGGTGTGTGTCACCATGCCTGTCTGTTTCCGGTGTGGCCTCGAACTCACAGAGATCCGATGGATCTTTGCTTCCCAAGTGATAGGATTAAAGGTATGTGTACCACCATTTTCTGTCCTCCATGTCTATCTAGTGGCTGTTCTGTTCTCTGACCCCAGATAAATTTATTAGGGTGCACAATATATTGGGGGACACAATATCACTACATTTCCCCTTTTTTGTATATTGTAATAAACTTATCTGGGGTCAGAGAACAGAACAGCCACTAGATAGACACAGAGGCCAGAAAATGATGGCACATACACCTTTAGCAGCAGTTCAGCTGAGATCCATTCAGGTGAGGACTCAGAGGCTTCCAGTTTGAGGAAACAGGATCAGCTGAGGAATTGGCAAGTGAGGTGGCTGTGACTTGTTCTTGTTCTCTGTTCTTTCAGTGTTCACCCCAATACCTGGCTCTGGGTTTGTTTTTATTAATAAGACCTTTTAAGATTCGTGTTACAGTTTTACACATCCAACAGATGTTGAATCGCTATTGCTTACTGGGCTGTAGGTCTTGTAAGTGAACAGCAGAGACACCCACACCCTCACCCACCCATACTCCCATCCATCCACACCCTCATCTGGTTTATTCTCTAGTGAAGGAAACAGGCAGTAGAGGAGATGTGAGAGGTGAGGCTCTCTGGAGTTTCTTTGTAAAGACAAAGTCCTGTTGAATAAGGATCCCATACTTATGACCTAATTTATCTTTAATTGCCTTCTTGTAGGCTCTGTCCCCAAATATGTCCATACTAGGGGCTAAGACTACAAAGTATGGATTTCTGTGAAAAACAGTTCATTCTCGGGTGGACAGCTAATATGTGAGCAGAGATGGAAGGGCTGTTGGAAGAGCAGTTGATATGGAATGGCTTGGGTTGGGGAGACATTTCAGTGGGTCAGCTATTTGCTGTGAAAGTGTAAGGTTGTGAGTTTGGAGCTCTAGAATCTGTGTAAAGCTGGGCATGGTATATAATCCCTACACTCCTGCAGTGAGATTGGAGGCTGAGACAGGAGAATCCCTAGAAACCCAGGCCAGCTATCCTGTTGTGCACAGCACTGAACTAGAAGAGGCCCTTTTTACATAAGATGAGGACCAATGTCCTTTGACCTCCAGACAGGTGCCTCTGTCTGCATTCATGAACACACATACATGCAC